AAGCCACAGAGAAATCCCGTCTCAAAAAAAAAAAAAAAAAAAAAAAATTGTGCTGAAGTACATGCATGAAACAAAATGCTACCAAGCCATCAAAAATAGTGCTCAGGTCCGGGGATGACGTTATGTGGCAAAAACAAACAAACAAACAAAAAAACCCTGTCCAGCATGCTCAAGCCCTTAGGTTCCATCCACAGCACTGTAAAATAAAACTAACCACTGAAAAGAACAACAGAGTCCAAAAGTAAGGACTCAAAAAGTGACAGCTATTAGAAGGAATACTAAACTCTTAAGAAGAAACAGTTTAAGCTTCCAATTAAAAACAGAAGTTACCAGCTGTGCTAGTTTGAATGTGATTGGCCCCATAATCTCATAGGGAGTGGCACTATTAGGAGGTGTGTCTTTGTTGAAGTGTGTCACTGTGGGGGAGGGCTTTGAGGTTTCCTAAACTCAGGATACCAACCAGCATCTCAATCAACTTCCTGATGCCTTCTGCCCACATCTGCCTGCACACCACCACGCTCTCTGCCATGATAATAATGGACTGAAACTCTGAAGTGAGGCACCCCAATTAAATGTTTTCCTTACAAGATTTTCAGTGGTCATGGTGTCTCTTCACAGCAATAAAAACCTTAATAAAAATAAAAACTAATAAAATAAAAATCCTACTAAAGACACCAGCAATGGAAAGAGTCCGTCAGACATTGGGATTCTCATCAGGAATACTATGCCAATATGCTACGTAGAAGATGGTTGTGACTGCATCCACAGACTACTACAATTGATCTATTACTGACTAACCAAACACAAAACTAAAAACATTGAGTCAAGATAACAAGTGGACAGATATGACTAAAACAACCTGTATCTTAGACACTGAAATTTTCAATATGACTACTAGCAGCTAGCAATCCCTATGTGCTACCTGGGTGCCAGGTTCCCTTTTATTTACTTAATACATTAATTAATCTTCATACAATCACAGCTTACAGAGAGGGGAGCTTCCCTAAGCTACAGTTTGATTCCTTGGACTGTTGTTCTCTTGACCACCGACATTCATATTACATCTAAATGAGTAAGAGCCTGGCTTAAGGAAATAAATGCCTTTAGGAAATAAAATACATGCTTTGGTCCAAATGCTGTTTACTTTTCTGATTAAGACAATTACTACAAAAAAAAAAAGACAATTACTACAGAACAAACTATAGGACATGCGCTTTTATCAGGCAAAATGAAGGGTGATCTTTAGCTTGCTTGAAACTTTTCATTCAAGAGCATTTCTGCTCTACATCGGAGGCTGACATCTAGTGGGCTAAAGCAAACATCACCATTGATGCAACCATATCAAAGACAGTATCAAAATGTGCCATGAATGAGGAGTGGGTACAGCCTAGGCTTTGAACTCAGAGCCTTATATATGCTAGCAAACACTTTATTACTATACCCCAGATCCAAAATCTACAGATTTTCAATTGGTTTTACATGGAAATACACATTTACATCATCAACAAAAACTGTTTTTCAAAATAATTTTACATCATTGATTCACACTGACCTTAACTGAAAACCAGTCTGTTATCCTTGGGGCTCCTGTCCATGACTGCCCCTACAACGTCTCCAGAGCACTGTGTGACTAAACTATACACTCCATCATGCTACACCTATAGACGTCTGACTCAGAGTGGGATTATGTCTTGATAAGCCCACTGTAAGCTCAACACATAAATCAAAATACACCTTATCTACTGAACAGCACAGCTCAGAAAAATGGTATTATGTATTGTCATGTCACTCTGTGTATAGGCTCGACGGCAAAGACCTTATTTACTCTATCCCAACAGCACTGTGCTAAATGACTGAACCCATGAAAAGGGACCTAAAGGTAATGAACACATCTCAATCTACTTTTCTCTTTTATGAACGTGAACTGAACCTTCAACCAGAGTAAGTCTGTCTCCCGAAGGACATTTGGTAATGTATGAAGGCAGCTATGGCTTTACACCACAGGGAAGCTGTGTCTCTGACAGCTACACAGCCAGAAATGCTGATAAATGTTCTATACTGCACAGCAACAACAAAAATTTCGGTCTCCAATGTCAATACTGCCAAAACTAAAAATTCTGCTGCCAGTATCTTTCCTAGGTGTTATTGACTGAAAAATACCAGTTTATATTAAACTGCATTTATAATCCAATACTGTCCACAAGTATTTTGTGTTGCTTTAATACTTCATTCTCTACATTGTATATTGTGTATAGAATGGCTTACCTTTGTAAATCACAGAAAAGCTGCACTTTTCACTTTCTAGAACCTCACAAATATTCTGAAGCACTTAAGGAAACCACAAGTTACAGCACATATGCTGCCCATGCATCAAACATCTACTGCTTATTTATAAGTATCATGATCATGGTGACTCCGCATTTAAAGGCATAAACAACTATTTCATTTATATTACATTTCTGGCATAACTATGCCTGACTACTTATAAATATTCGAAGAAAAAAATTTAAATATAGTAATTTACATTTAGGGTATTCTACTGACTTGGAAAGAAATTATACATTTATGCTGGGGCTAGAGAAATGACTCAGTAGTTAGGAGCACCGACTGCTCTTCCAGAGAACTAACCCACGTGATGGCTCATTATCTGAGACTCTACTTCCAGGCCACCCAAAGCCGCCTTCTGGCCTCCACAGGTACCACAAATTCATGTGATACAGACCAAACAACCATATACATATGTTTTAAAAAGAAGCTCAAATAATGTTATGCATACATTTCCAAACAGTAAAAGCATTACAAAATAGCTATCATAAGAAGAGTTCACTGACTCTGATTAGAAAAGCACCATTAGCATTAGACTAGCCTTCCTCTGCACAAAAGGAAACATCAGGTTTTCAGCTTGACCTCATCTTTTCTCACAGAAGTCATCTCAACATTTCACCTACCCCCTTAAACAAGCGTAACAAAAACTTGTTTATGGCCTTCCTTCTATTTTAAAAACTATATAGTCTTCTCTCTCAGAATGTAAGCTTCGTGGGCTGAAAAAGACCCGAGGTGGCTCAGCTTACCAACAAAACAAGCCTGATGACCTGCATTCCATTTTCAGGACCCACATGGTAGAAGGAAAGAACTGACTCCTGCACCGCCACTACACTGCAAATAATGTATAAAAAGAAAGAAAAAAGCTTCATATACACACACACACACGAGAATGTAAGCTTCATGAAAATACAGTGGTCCATATTGTTCACGTCTGAATCCCCTACAATTAGCAAAATGACTGCAGCACATACAGCAAATTATTTAGTAGGGTCTGTAAATAAGCATTTATAGAGTAAAGCAAACCCCCAGAACCTGTCAAAACAGAATATAAAGTTAGAAGAAGGCTGGGTGTGGTGGCATATGCCTTTTATCCTAGCACTTCAAGAAACCGTGAGTTAAGAGGCCAGCCTGATCTACAAATCCAGGGCCAGGACAACATTTTGAGACTCTTGACACACAAAAAAAGTCTTAAAAGCTAAGAATAACCATAGGCCACCACAAAAGAAATATCTAAAACACATGGATACAAGTGAAAGTGAAAGATGGGCAAAAGTGTATCAGGCAAATAAAGGGGAAGAGTTATTACATAGGATCTGGACTGCAGTGAGGTAACAAGGCAACCGAGGGAAACCCTCTACGGTGAGTATGAATATAGTCCTTTACTGTGACAGTCAGGGACATATGCAGATGAACTGCATGAAAACATGGAACACAACAACTACATAAAGCACTGAAGGAAACCATTAAAACCTTAATGACTGCTTAGTCAGTTCAGATTAAGAGGTCAAAAGTTTAATAGGTAGCAAATGATCTGATAGATTATATGTTACAAAAATAAAAACACTGCCAGGCGGTGGTAGCACATGCCTTTTATTGCAGCACTCAGGAGACAGAGGCAGGCAGACAGATCTCTGTGAGTTTAAGACCAGCCTGGTCTACAGAGTGAGTTCCAAAACAGCCAGGATGGTTGTTACACAGAGAAATTCTGTCTCTAAAAACCAAAATTAAATAAAAATAAAAACAAAACACAATAAGCAACAAAAGTAAAATAATAGTTTGGTAAAGAAGTAAGAAAACCACACCAAGTATAAGTTGGCAATTAAGAAGTGAAATAACAGAAAAAAATTAAAAGGGTTCTAGAAGCCATCTTCTGCAAAGCTGTCTGCCATTATAGATGCGATCTGTGAATGGATGACTTTGAAAGAAAAGAACAGTTTATTGGGACTGACTCACTAGGCAGAAAACTTAAAGCCAAAGATGCTGCTAAGAATAGAATAACAGTAAAAAGCAGCCAGTCCAACACCCTTAGTGAATGCTTTCAAGTATTCAGGGAATCTAATACTTTAATAAAAGGAGAAAAGGGCAGGGAAGAACCTACACTTTTCTTTTTTATGAATCCAGCAAAACGCCCATCAATAATACCCCACAAAGCACCAAAAAGAAAATTGACCAAACTGAAGTAAAACTCTGAGCAACAGGTCTGGAGAGGTGGCCCCGTGGTTAAGAGTGCACACTGCTCTTGCAGAGGACCCAAGTAGGTTCCCAATACCCATTATCAGGTATCTCACAACACCGGTACCTCCAGCTCCAGGGGAACAGACACCTCTGGCTTCCTAACATACCTGCTCATGTGCACAGGTACAAGCCCACAGGCACATACATATTAAAAATCTGAGCTATGTCACTATGAAGAATCCAGAAATAGGCAGTTGTTTCCAGATCTTAACCTCTAAACCTGCCTACCTTCCTAAATACTAATTCAAAGGCATAATTTTGCTTGTCCCTATCCTAGCTTACACAACTGTAAGCGTGCTTGCTAGCCCTGATACTCTGGGCTTTCTCACTGTTTTTGTTGTTGTTTGGTTGGTTTTTGGTTTTTTTGAGACAGGGTTTCTCAGTAGTTATGAAGCCAGTCCTGAAACTCGCTCTGTAAACCAGACTGCCCTCAAACTCACAGAGATTCACCTGCCTCTGCCTCCCGAGCGCTGGGATTAAAGGTGTGCGCCACATTCTCACTGTTTTCCTTAGACTGCTCCCAAGCCCAGACAGACACCTGAGCAGTGGTTCAGCTGCGCAGAATCCTTCTCCAGCTCTGGGAGACAAAAAGACCGAGACAAATACCTGACAGCAATCCAAGGTTAATCCATTCTAGAAGTGGTAAGCACGGCTCAGTACTAAGAAACCTAGGGAAACATTTCACAGTATATCAAATAAATAAGCAATAGCAAAGATCTTAAAAGAAGCAAACTTCTTTCTCAGTCTGCCTCTTGTTTTTAACAAAATCTCAGTCGTTTGATTTTACCAATAAAGACTCAGGAAGCAGATGCTGGGGTGAAAGCCTGCTAGCTCAGAGAGGCAGAGAAAGCACCCAGCTGACCCTGTTCCTTAGCCAGCGTCTCAGAAGCCTCCTCCTGTGCTATCCCAAAAAAGACTCCTCAAAACTGAATGTTCCTCTCTTCGCTTCTGTGAATCTCCTTCCGACCTCCCGACTCTAATTCTCTATAGTTTTCTCTTGTTCTCTTCCTGTCAACTGGCTGCTTGCTCTGCCTCTTGGCCTATGGTTAACTTTATTTAATCCTCTGTACAATAAGCAGAAAGCTCTTGGATTATATGTGTATGCCAGGGCTGAGCCACCAACTAGAAAACAGGTTTTTTCCAGTAAATACCATCTTCTGGACTCTGTGGGCAGACATACAAGTGATGCAAAACCATATATGCCAGCAAAAACACTGAAAATAAAAAAATTTTAAAAATTAAATATAAATCACAAGCTGCTACACTGTAATTTCATATACAAATGACTTAAAACCTTTCAAGACAGCGTAAGATGTGACATAATAGATGTGAGTCTTTTAGCTATGAGCTAAGAGGTGCTATATACCACCAACACAACAACAAACTACAACTAAGTATTGCAAGCTTTATCACCTTTAAACTGTGATATACTGAGCCAGGTGGTTGATGTGTGATTCCCCTTTGTATACTGTGAATACCATTTGGTTAATAAAGCTGCTTTCAGCCAATGGCTTAGTAGAATAAAGCCAGACAGGAAATCCAAACAGATATATAGTGAGAGTAGGCGGAGTCAGGGAGATGCCATGTAGCTGCCAGAGGGGAAAGACGCCAGATGTCACCTGGAACCTTGCTGGTAGGCCTCAACCTCGTGGTGATGCGCAAATTAATAGAGATGGGTTAATTTAAGATGTAAGAGCTAGCTAGAAATATGCTTAAACTACTAGCCAAACAGTACTGCAATTAAAGTAGTTTCTGTGTAATTATTTCAGGTCTGAGCAGCCAGAAACAAACAAGCAGCCTCTGCCAAGAGGTGGTGGTGGCACACATCTTCAATACCAGCACTTAGGAGAGAGGCAGGCATATCTCTGTGAGTTCAAGGCCAGACTGTTCTACAGATTAAGGTCCAGAACATCCATGGAGAAATCTTGTCTCAACAAACAAACAACAAAAATTTCGATATACTTAGAGAAGTATCTGCACAAAATGGCTCACCTTCATCCACAGAAAACTGACAGCTTTTATCATTGAAGAAAAGTATTTTCTTCTTATCAGGACGATTTACGAAAAGTATCTGGTCCCCTAAAGCCTTAAAGAAAAAAATTACCATCAAATTACTCATTTAAAATATACTATATATATGATACATATGCTACACACACGAGGGAGGAAGAGAACAAGGCTTCTCTTCTTTAGCCTACAATGTATCACTAGAGTCTACATGCCCCCCAAGTTTCAGCTGAATTTCTTTTTTCAGCAATTCTATCTTTAAGGATACTTTCAGACTTCTTAAGACTTCTGTCAAAGAACACAAAGGGGTGGGTGTGTGTGTGTGTGACAACAAGCAGTTTTTGCAAAAGACTCTCAAAATTAATGGGAAAATGTAACAAATTTCATGACCATAACTTTACTGCAAACTCCTTCATGTATATACATGTATATAACTCAATTTTGTTTTTTACATGTTTAAAACTTCAAAGAGGTACTGGAGATGACTCAGTGGGTAAGAGCCCTTGCTGCTCTTCCAAAGGATCCAAGTTCAGTTCCCTGCACCAACATCAGGCAGCTCACACTGCCTGTAGCAGCTTCAGCTCCACAGCATCCAACACCATCTTTTCTCCTTGAGCACCCACACATACATGGGCAGATACACACAGACACATGCATAAAAACATAAGAAACAAGGTATGGTGGCACATTTTAGTCCCAGCGTTCAGGATGTGGAGGCAGACAGATTTCTGATTTCTGTGAGTTCAGGACAACCAGGACTACACAGTGAGACCATGTCTCAAAAAAAAAAAAAAAAAAAACATTATTAATTCAAATTGTAGTAACAATATAGGAGTAAAAAGAGAAAAATTACCTTGACAGCTTTCTGGGAATTAGGAAGCCCTTCTTCTATGTCTTCTAATAGGATCCCTCCTAACCCTCGCTGGTCATGGTTATCCAGAAGCCTGAGGAGGGCCTTCTTATCTTTCAGGTTGTACTTTGGCTTGAAAGCATATTTCCCATCTATTACTTCAATTTTGGGATTGTTGACTAAAGCCTGTAATAACACCACGGTCAGGTTATATTTACTAAAGGAAACTTCATGCGTATGTTCTTAAATTCTAACACTACCCTACACAGGGGCAAACTAAAGTATCTTCAGAACATAAACTAGCACCTAAAATAGACATCCAGGATCCCAGAACAGGTCATCAGCATAGTGCTTACATCTTATTTTTTTAAAAAACAAAAAACTATGCTGTTGTGGGATATTTGTATACTGTGTGAAGACACTGCTGTGATTGGTGTGAACAGAAAGCTAGACGGTCGATAGCTAGGCAGAAGGATAGGTGGGATTCCTGGAAGAAGGAGGAGGTGGTAGGCCTGCAATCCCAGCTACCCGAGAAGCTGAGGCAGGAAGATTACACACTCGGACTACCTAGGTTACAGAGAAAGCTCGGGCCAGCATGTGCACTACGTGAGAATAATAATAATGAATAATTACATTGACTTTTTTAAAAAAAATTACTTTATTAATTAAAGATTTCTGTCTCTTCCCCACCACTGCCTCCCCTTTCCCTCCCCCAATCAAATCCCCCTCCCTCGTCAGCCCAAAGAGCAATCAGGGTTCCCCTGCCCTGTGGGAAGTCCAAGGACCACCCACCTCTATCCAGGTCTAGTAAGGTGAGCATCCAAACTGCCTAGGCTCCCACAAAACCAATAGGTGCAGTAGGATCAAAAACCCATTGCCATTGGTGATGCATGCCTTTAATCCCAGCACTTGGGAGGCAGAGGCAGGTAGATCTGAGTTCAAGGACTAGTCTACAAAGTGAATTCCAGTGTGTACTATTACACAGAGAGATCCTGTCTCAAAAAAAAAAAAAAAAGACATTTTAAAACAAGTATTATAAAAACTATATCAAAATAGCTAAACAAATTATAGGAATGTGTATGTTTAAATTAAACAAAGGCTCTACATCAAGTCTTAAGAAAAATTAAAATATTATCAGATCACAGCATTTATTAAAAAAAAAACAAAAAAAACTCTGAGCCAGGCATGATAACTCATGAAGCTAAAGCAGGAAAACTGTCCTGAGTTTGAAGTCAGCTTGGACTTCAAAAATTAGACCCTGACTCCTGCCCCTCTTTCTCCCTGCGCGCGCGCGCTCTCTCTCTCTCTCTCTCTCTCTCTCCCTCCCCCCCCCCCCCCCCCCCACACACACACACACACACACACACACACACACACACACACACCCGTCTCCCTCTCCAAAAACAAAACAAAAAAGAACAAAACAAAAACCCAATAAAACATGTCTACGGTTGGAGATGACGCAATGGTATTCTATCAGAAGTGGAATGTCCCGACACATGCTGGCCCTGGGCCCCTTCTCCAGCACCACCTCCACCATGCAAAAAAAAAAAAAAAAAAAAAAAAAGAAGAAGAACAAGAAGCAACTCTAGATAGCTGCAGCATATATCCCTTTTTGTAATTAACTATTTTTTTTTGTTGTTGTTTTTCAAGACAGGGTTTCTCTGTAGCTTTGGTGCCTGTCCATAATTAACTATTTTTAAAGTCTGTTCTTACCTCAGTCATTAGCCATTGTTTCTGCTTTAGTCCAATGTCTAAGTGTTGTGTCTCATCCAAAATCTCCTCTAAAGTTAAAGGATGTGTGTCTCCTCGCTGATGCCGGGTCTATTGAGGGAAGTTTTCAAGTGTTAAGTGCATGAAGTCAAAGTCACAAATAAACCTTTTCATAAACTATCTTTTCAGGAACGTAAGCACATATTATCTGCGGTAGTTAAGTATGTATGCCAGGATCAAGAACATGAAATCATACAAAACCAGAATAATAAAAATCAAATGATAAACTGAGATGGAAAACAAAAATCACAAACTAACCATAAACCAGGAGTGGGGACACACACCTGTAACACCAGCAAGTAGAAAGCTGAGGCAGGAGAATCACAAGTTCAAGACCATCCTAGACTACATGACGAGTTCAAGTTCAGCCTGATCTACATAATGAATTCAAAACTAATAGAGGCTACACAAGATGAAATGTGTTGAGATGGGGGAGGACAACAGCAACAACAAATTCTTCTAGTCACTGCAAGAAAAAAACTTGTAGGGAAACACAGATTAAGAGAAAACGAAATTCAAATGTCCTTAAATATGAAAAGACACTCAACTGCCACCAGGATGCCTCTGACCTATCAGATCAGCAGAGTGCAAAGGTCCTGTGTCACTGGTAAAGAAACATGGAAACAGGCCTTCTCACTGACAGAACACACAGTGTTGCAACCCTTGAAGACAAAATGCACTAATTAAACTGCAGCACAATACAAGCTATATACAGATGTTTTCTGTTAAGCAAGAAGTTCTCTATGCAGCCCTTTCACCACTGGACCACAGTCATACAAATGCTCACACTTCAAAAATGGTTGCCTCTAGTGTCCTCCACTGTGGCAAAAAAGGTCAGGGTGAACACAAATAATATCACCACCAACTCAGAGATATGCTGATACCTGAAAACTTGTCTATTCTGGGGTTTGATGTCAAAAAACACCTACACTTATTAAAGGAGCAGGTACAGGGACATGGGTAAGCAGAAGGGTACTGCAGATTCATGAATGCCAAAGGAGGTGACCCAGTGGCAGATGTGGCTCCTGAACAGGCTTTCTCAGAAGATACTGTGAGTCTAAGATTAACGACCACATTCACGGCAGTGTGTGCCTGTGATGAAGATGTGTTAAAAGGTGGCTTCTCATGGAACGTCCACGATCTAAAGGTGGACAGGGTACCACCAGGGATAAGACAGTGGGATTAGGAATGAGAATGACCTCTGTGTGTGAACCTCTCTATACTCTACATTTTATATTGAAAGATACATTCATTATTCAAAACAAAAATAACTACAAGACTCTACCTCAAGTAGGCAACAGAACTTCTTTGGGCCTCAGTCCAGACCTGTAAAACTTGAATTCTCAACTTTTCAAAACTAAGATGAGGGGTGGGGGCATAAAATCCAACGTTATCACAAACAGAAAACATTTCCTAAGCATTTGCTCTTCATTCATTCATCCAATTCTTTAGTACTGACTACTACAGGCTAAAAATGCAGAGATGAGATACAATGAAATGCAAATTATACCTACATTTTCACAAGCTCCCAATAGTGGGGCCAAGTTAGACATGTATCTATAAAATTTAGGTTAAAAAAACATTTCTTAAAAGAAATTCAGGGCTGGAATGATGGCTCAGAGGTTAGGAGCACTATCTGTTCTTTAGAAGGTCCTGAGTTCAATTCCCAGCAACCACATGGTGGCTCACAACCATCTGTAATGAGATCTGGTGCCCTCTTCTGGCCTGAAAGCATACATGCAGGCAGAACACAGTATACATAATAAATAAATAAATCTTAAAAAATAAACACACACACACACACAAAAAAAAAGACAAATTCAAGGGGCTAAAGAAAAGGCTAAGAGGTTAAGAGCTCTTCCAGAGGTCCTGAGTTCAATTCCCAGCAAATACATGATGGTTCACACTCATCTATAATGAGATCTGATGCCCTCTTCTGGTGTGCAAGCAAACATGCAGACAGAATACTGCATACATAATAAATAAATCTTTAATTTAAAAAAAAAAAGACAAATTTAAGCCAGGCTTGCTGGTATAAGCCTACCTTAGGTACTTGGTAGGCTAAAGTGGGAGAATCAGGTTCAAGGCTAGTCTGGACAACTTAATTGAGACCTTATAAAAGGTAGAAAGTGTGGAGATACAGCTCAGTGCAGAAGTGCTTTCTGCTCAACCCCCAGACACAGAGACAGACAAGCAGGCTGACAGAGTGCTTGCTTAGCACACACACAGCCTCAACCTGCATGCCACTACACCAATAATCCTAGCACTGGAGGTGGGGACAGGAGGGTCAAAAGTCATCCTCAAAACAGTGCATCTGAGGCCAGCCTAAAGTGTAGCTCAATAATAGTAGGTGATTGTGTAGAACACCAAAGCCCCGAGTTTGATCCCCAACATTGCCCTCCCATACCTGACACACACACAAGAATATGTTGGCCCCACCTAGAACATTCCAATTGATATAATCTGTAAAACTGATCAGTTTCCCTTTACACAATCTCTCCTCTTCCCATCCTAACACCCAAATCCCATTCAATATTATCCACGAGCACACTGTCCTCAGGAGAGTGTGCTAAAAAAGATTTTTTTTCCCCCAAAAGTTTAAATCTAAGTAATTCTCTTCAGGATTCCCAAGTTCATTCCTTAACTATTAGCTTAGGGAAAATCAAAAACAAAAACAGTTTAAAATGCGTACTTAAAGAGCTAAAGCAGTATCAACTGGGAGCCATTTCCTTTAGGTAACAAATATTTTCCAAGACTAGCAAGTTTTTCTAACTATGCTACATAAAATCCAGAAGTGGCATATACATTTATCCCAGATGCAGGCATATCTGAGTTCCAAGTCAGCCAGAGCTAAATTATAAGGTCATGTCTTTAAGAAAAAGAAAGAAAAAAAAAAAGGGGGCAACAAAATGGCTTAGTAGGTAAAGGTACCTGATGTCAAACCCGATGACCTGAGTTTGATCCCCAGAACCCACAATGTAGAAGGAAAAAACCTACTTCTCAGAACTATCCTCTGACCGCACAAGCACTGGACTTGAAACTTCCAATATCCCAATCTTACAGCGCTAGGGACAGAACCCAGCATCTTACACATACATGCACGCTATCACTGAGCTACACAGCTCTAGGTCCTGCCCTTTGGACTCATCTTCTAAAGGCTGAGAAAGTAATTAGTTAATGACCAGAAACCAAGTCCGTGGACAAGTTAGGTATTTTCCATTGTTTTGTTTAACAAAACCATGTGTCAAACAATGGCTGCCTAAAGGACGAAGTTCCAAGTATTTTTTTGGCACGTAACATGGAACTGTACTTATCACAAAATGTTCATTAGAACTAACGTAGCTTCATGAACATTTATTTCTCTGCACTTAAATCTACAAAATCTAAAAACAGCAGCAGAGTTGGTGCCAAATTCTACTTTATCCAACCAATAACTAACAAGAATCTTCAGATGCAGTAGCTACAAAAAGAAAAGAGGATTCCATTCATTTCCTTGATGGGTGAATTACTGTTACATACAAAGCAAACTCAATCAACCTTTTATCAATCAGTAATTGCAAAGCAACTCAAATCAGAAGCCTTGTGATCACAAGAAAAAATGTTAACTTTATTTGTACACTTGCTTATTAAGGAAAATAAAATTAAGAGCTAAATATACTTTTAAACACTGTCAATTTCCTTCAACTGACTGACAGCTCCAAGAGGCTGCTCTTTCTTGTTATCCCACCATCAGTAGATGTTAATAATTGTTTAACATACAGGGCAAGAAGTGAACTGAACGAACAATCAGTCAGAATCCTCTGGTGCTGAGAAATATAAATATAAATGTTTGTACTCGAAATCAAATACAAACTACACAATTCAGACACAGCCAGACATCAGCTTCTTATGCTTTTGAGTCAACGTTTCCTAAGATCCTCGGTGATTCTCTTAACCTCCAAGCAGAGAAATTAGCCATCAACTGCTTGAACTGTGCAATTTTTATTTCTCATATGAAGGAAGGAACTATCTTGAAAAGCTACCCCATCATTGGTTTTCCCAGGAAATGTATCTACTCCTTGGGAGGCCTCTTGCTGAGTCAAATGGTGAGTTGTATACTTGACTATAAAGTAAATTAAACAGAATTGAGTGCCCACTGTAATGCCAGCTTAACAGAGGGCAAAAGGCTGGAAACATTAAATATTTAAGGGTTTCTTGAAGTATAATCAACCTATAATAAGCTACACATACTAAAATGAGTAATTAGATATATCTTGACATATTTATATAAATATCTAACTTCTGCAAACCCAGATCTCTTAACTCCCTTTTTTTGTCAAAAAAAAAAAAAAAATCAAAGTGGTATGTGAGTACTTACTTTCATGTAATTCACGATCTTAGCAAGAACACCAAACTTATATCCAGAGCTTCCTGATAGTGCTTTCAAGTTAAATGATCCATTGTTATGATCTGGAAATGAAGTTCAAAAGAATTATTATAACAATTTCATATAATGTGCTATTATGACTTAGGAATAAAAATGATTTTAACTTTGGTAAAATACTTCCCTTTGACTTTTTTCATCTAATGAAGTGTACCTTGTAATATTTTGGCAAAACTCACAAAATCGATGTATGTTTATTGAATTGTCAAGCCCACCACCCACCCACCCTTCTTCAGAGAGAGGGTCTCACTCTAGTACACTCAAACTCATCATCCTCCACCTTAGCCTCCAAAATGCTGGGATTATAAGATTATGACATATTTTAAGCTAAATATAATTTAAAAGCATTAAAATATAGTTTGGGGAAGGAGAGTGCTGGAGATCTAATTCAAGGCCTGTGCGGGTTAGGCAAGCACTCTAACACAGAGCTATATCCCAAAATACAAGTATGTTGCCACTTGTATTTTGTAAGAGATAGTCTTACTAAAAAACCACACTAACCTCCAACTCCGAGATCCACCTGCCTCAGCCTCCTCGGCTGGAACGAAAGGCTGTGCCCCCATACCCAGCTCAAAACACAATTCTTTTACAAGTACCTTTATTTCTTTCTACTCCTACCTTCAACTTGATTAGAGTCCTCCAATAAATTAGACAAGAGAACATTATAAACACAAGAAATGAGTAAAGGAAGGATGGATACCTATTGCCCCTATATAATGTCCTCTTTACCTCCCTTCTTCCTCCCTCTTCTTCTTTCAGAAGTCCTTATTGTTCCAAAATATCTACCATTTTACCGCCTCCCTCCAGATAATGTTGTCAATGTATCTCAAATGCATTTGAGCCACAGACAAAAAAGATTACAAAATTCACTATAAATACAAGAAAAGCATCTCCGTAGCACACATTCTATTAGAAAGGCATCAGGTCAGATATCAACCTCCCACACAGTTGATACACAAATAGAGTGGCTAAATAAAAAAGAAGGGAAAGCCATCTCTGGCATCAGCTTGGTAATAACCATTTAAACAGAAGACTGCATTAGCACAACCACAAGTCAAATAAAACAACTGTCAGAGATCCAAAACAACAATTTCAGATGCAACATAATACTCCTTTGAAATTGGATAGTGAAAAGTCTTTATTGAATGTTTTCTTTCCTATGATATTAAAATGCAATGTCCTGAGGATCATGGGAGAAGGTAGAAAGGGAGGGAGAAAAAAGGGAGGGGAGCAAAGAAAAATACATAGTTCAATTTAAAAAAAAAAATCAACCAATCAATAAATAAAATGCAACATTCTTTGGAACTTTCCCTTAGAAATAGTTTATAATTTTGAAAAGTAACTCAATTGGCACATTAAAGTCTACTATGCTTCCAAAACTAAATATCAAAAATGACATACTGATAGTCTTTACATAAATGATTTCAAAGGGCAGGGGTGGTGGCATAATCTATAATCTTAAAAGACTTGGTAGGCTGAGAATCACAAAAGACGAGGCACATGGGAGGGGTCAGAGGGAGGAAATGGTAGAAGGGAAATGCCATAATTATTTTATACTTAATGCTTATATTAATATGTATATTATTTTATATTTTATTTATATTATTTTATATTTCATTAAAATTAAAAACTCTATTTTCTTCCAGAGGCCATGTCCAATTCTCAACACCTACAACTATCTGGCGGTTCACAATTACCTGTAACTCTAGCTCCAGGGAATCTAATACCCTCTTCTCAACTCCAAGGGCACTCAAGTACACAGACACACAAAATAATATACAATACTTATTAGTTTTTTTTTTTAATTTTAAGGTCATGCTCTGCTACATAGCAAGTTTAGGATGCGCCTGAGTTACAGAAGACCTGTCTCAACAATAATAGCACATTTGTTTCAATTATGAAATACTAACCTTATGGTTATTTTTTTCCCCAAGATTTCAAAACAGTTTTTAATAATAGTCACTAACCTTTATTGAACTGAGCATCACACTACATGATCTCCTTATTTAGTCCTCATAAAAAAAAAAATCCTGTTTAAGATTTTACTAAATTCAGGAAAATGGATTGAGCTAGAACACATTATTTTGAGGTAACCCAGACACAGAAAGACAATTATCACAGGTACTCACTCATAGGTTTTTAAACATAAAGCAAAGAAAGCCAGCCTACAAACCACAATCCCAGAGAACTTAGACAACAATGCAGGCAGTAAGAGAGATTTACATAATCTACATGGGAAATAGAAAGTAGAAAAAGACAAGATCTCCTGAGTAAATTGGGACCATGGGGACTTTGGGGTAGGGCTGAAGGGGGGGGGAGGGGAGAGGCAGGGAGGGGAGCAGAGAAAAATGTAGAGCTCAATAAATATCAATAAGATTTTATTAAAGTCTATTAAGATTCTACTGTTCTCTTTAATTTAGTGTGTGGAGGGAGAGGTTGCATGTGTACATGTAGGCCAGTTTGGGGTCTTCAATTTTTCCTCCATTTTTTTAAAAATTTTATCTTACGCATATGGGTGTTTTGCCTATATGTATGTCTGTGTACCCCACGAATACCCTGGTACCCACAGAAGCCAAAACAGGGTGTCAGATGCCCTGGAACTGGGGTTACAGACAGTTGTGAGTGTCCATGTGGCTCCTGGAAATCAAACCGAGGTTCTTTGGAAGAGCAGCTAGTATTCTTAACAGCTGAGCCATCTCTCCTGCCCCTCCATCATATTTTTCAGTCTCCCTGAACCTGAAACTCAAATGGTCACAAACCCAGTAATCTTTCTGTCCAGCCTGTCCAGCAATGGGGTTCCAGGTGCAAACTCCTGTGCCAGGCTCTCTGACGTGGGTGCTGGGAATCTCAGGTCATGGTCTCCTGCTTGTACAACCAGTGCCTCACAACTAAGCCATCTCCCCAGCTCTGACTGTCCTCTTTTAAGCGTAAAAATTTGAGGGTTTTAACAAGGCAAAGATTTTTTTTTTTTTTTTGGATTTTCGAGACAGGGTTTCTCCATAGCTTTTTGGTTCCTATCCTGGAACTAGCTCTTGTAGACCAGGCTGTCCTCGAACCCAAGAGATCCACCTGCCTCTGCCTCCCGAGTGCTGGGATTAAAGGCGTGCGCCACCACTGCCAAGCTAACAAGGCAAAGATTTAAATCAAGCTGTAAACCCTGTAATACTGCCCTGTACAAGAAGCTCTACCCACTACACTTTATTATTACCACACATTATTATTCCATCTAACACGGGCCATTTTGTCAGAACATAGACACCCATAAATACACACGAACCTAGGACCTCATGAATGCTAGGCAATGGTCTACCACTGAACTTAACCCACTAACTCCCTAAGTTACTTAGACTGGCCTTAAATGTGTGGTGTTACCTCCCAGACTCTTGAGTAGCTGGGATGATAGGGCTGTATCATCAAACCCAGAATTTTAATCAGTATTATTAAGTTTATCCTATAGTACTGTGCACGTATGTATCTATGTGTATCTATGTGTATATATGTAAAACTGAAAAGAGAAATCACAATATATTAAGAACAAAGTCCATCAAGAACAGTGGCAATGGGTCTTTGATCCTACTGCATGTAGTGGCTTTGTGGGAGCCTAGGCAGTTTGGATGCTCACCTTACGAGACCTGGATGGAGGAGGGTTTCCCTCGGACTTCCCACGGGACGGAGAGCCCTGATTGCTCTTTGGGCTGAAGAGGGAGGGGGAACGTATTGGGGGAGGGGGAGGGAAAGGGGAGGCGGAGGGGGGGAAGAGACTGAAATATTTAATAAATAAATAAAGAAAGAAAAAAAAAAAAAGAGAAAACCAAAGGGAAGGGGGAAAAGTAAATTAAAAGTTTAATAAGAGGAGGAAATGACTTGAAAAAAAAAAAAAAAAAAAAAAAAAGAACAAAGTCCAAACAATCAACTATGAACCACATAGTCTGCTTACTACAATGTCCCTAGTACTAAGTCAAAGCCAACTGAAGCCAACATTCAAGTATCTATTGAATGATTAAAGCAATGAAATAAGGGTATTTCCATGTACTCCTTTACAGTGCCAGAGACTAATGGAATGATTTATCTAAATATTTTTTTAGTCTATGTAGCAAGGATTTACCCAGTCTCCAGCTGTTTTTGTTTGATTTTTGCTGATTTATTGTTGTTGTTTGTTTTAAGACAGAATCTCATTATGTAGTCTAGAACTCACTATGCAGACTGGGCCAGCCTCTGCTTCTAAAGTGCTGGGATTAAAAGTGTGCACCACCATGCCCAGCTCTCCCTCTTTTAAAAGCTACTCCTTGAGCTGGAAATATGGCTCAGAGGATAAGAGCATTGGCTGTTCTTCCAAAGGACCTGAGTTCAATTCCCAGCATCCACATGGCAGCTCACAACTATCTGTAACTCCAAATCTAGAGGATTGTACCTCGCAGTCAAAACACCAGTACGCTAAAAAAAATTTTTTAATTTTTAAAAATTAAAAAAGGATCACTCCTTGAATTAAAAATAAATCTTGATTCTGCTTTGATTAGGCCAAACTCCTACCACCATAACTAAAATAACAATGAACAGACAGTTGCACTAGACCCAACTAAAACATAAAAGTTGTATCTTAAATTTTAGAAAAAAAGCCTGCCCACCTAAACTCTACTATAACTTAAAGAACTAAAACATTATTTCTGTTCCCTCAAGATTTCTCCCAAATATAAGCACTATGCGTCCATAATCCCAGAAGTCAAGACTTGAGAATATACTGAAAAAATATGTTAATTTTAAACTTATTTATGAGATTTTACATACATTTCCTGTTAACATTTCACCAACATGCTTAACCTGGGCTGCATTTCCTAGGTAACTGCCTCTGGAGACCATATTCTTGCTCTGGCACTGAACTACTAACAGAGGGATGTGAAATTTTATAGAAAAAAAAAAACCCAATCTGTTTCTGTGAAAAAAATCAGCATAAAGACAAAAGAAATTTTAAAAAGGAGGTGGCAGCTGATACCCCAGACAGCTCTATCCAGTTTATGAATGACCTGTTCCTCGGGGTGGCAGGTCTTTATGCAAATGAGCACGGAGGAAACTGTCAGCTGCTTTACGCGTCCAACCAATAGAAGCACAGCTCCATCTTGGCTGTGCACTAGACTGCATTACAAACAGACGATACCATCGCTTCCACAGCATCCTTCCAGACAAGAGGTAGGCTTATTTGATCCTTTTTATTCAGTAGTCCATATCCTTATGAAGCAGCAGGAAAATATTTTACCATGAAAATAAACAGAAAGCATTATGCCTTCAGAAAATGTAAAAGCAATGTATTAACCCATTATTTGGTAGGATTTTATCATGAAAATGACGGCTGCCCTATGCTATTTGATAAGCATCCTTACCATCTGTATCTTAATGGAAAATTCATTACATTTTCTACTAATCTCATTTATCCAGACCTTAAGTAAGACAAAAGCATTTGATGTTAACCTGGGCCTTTGCTAATTTTATTTTCTAAAAGCAAATTCATTTCAGAAGTCCGGTCTGTCTTAACAAAGGATGTTTCTCAAAAGAAAAAAATATTGAATAATAGCAAATCTTCGGCTAAAGCTTTCTGATTATATGTACAAATTATATCAGCTGGTAAAAAGCAGTTATAAAAAAGCATATATTTTAACAAATGAGAAGATAATTCTGATTTTTTATATTTGACTTTGAGTACTAATGCAGAGAATGCCAAGAAAAAACCAGTTATAATTTTTATATAAAAACACTTTAACATGTATCATTATGTGTTGTATTATGCTATAAGCATAGAATAATATACTATGTATATACTATAAATTATAGAACATCAGATTTCCAACATCTTAATTAAAATATTTCCCTACAGTAAAATCTATCCTATCATAATACAAACCATGTTATAACACAAAAATCTTTTAAATATCCTTTCATTATAAGCCACACAAAAACTTTAAATTATTCTTAAGCTGGTATTGAGATACATACAAATTCAATCTTTTTGTTAAACTATATCTTAAAATTAAATGTGTCCTAAGACGAGCTGGTTAAGGAAGAACAGTAATTTTAGGCAGTAAAATTATTCTCCTGGCTCAGAGTAATCGACCAAATTTCTGTAAATAATATCTGAAGATGAAAACCTTTAGTAGATGCTAGCTCTCCATGATACACTGTACTCAACACCTAAATATCCAACTTTCACCTTTTTACCTTGTAAGTATATTTACTACTAAGGCTTAGTTTTTTTCTTCTGCTTTTCATAATTTCTATTCCTTTGTTTCTTCATCAGCATTCAGGTTACACAAACAGTGTCTCTGGAAAAACTCAAAAGGCTGCTGTAACAAGACACTAGATCTCAGGTTCAGCACAGCAGGGTTAATTACCTAGAAGCCTTTCTTGCTTACTATACAAAAGATGAGAGCCAAATAATATAAAAACAACGACAAATAACTGTTAACTTACACCCTAAAATTTCAAATTGTTTTAACAGTCATAGCAGCCTACGTCTTTGTAGAGTAGATCTATAATTAGCGTAAGTGGAGGTCTATTACTGTTCACCAAACCATCCCTCAAGTGCACCCTACCTCAGAGCCTCAGAGCACGAATCAATGAGCTGCTCTCCAGCTAACAGCTGTTATGATCAACAGATCTATTTCACAGTGATGTACTTAAGGGAACCAGAGAACAGAATTCAGTTTACAAGTTTTTACCATAAATAGAGCTAAATCATAATTTCTAATCTGGTGATCCAGGGTCCCCAAACCACAAGACTATCCCCATAAATACGCCACTGGGACCTTCTGTAAAAAGCAAATAGGGAAAGGGAACATAGCAAAAACATAAAAATAAAACCTACCTAAAAACTGTGATTAAGGTTTCCCGTTCCTGTAATAAAATTATAAAGGGAAGATCTACCAAGTACAAAACTCTCATACTGTTTCTATTTTTAATCATTTTCTGTTTTCTAACATGTTTACAGCATTTCCTTGATACAAATTTAATTTTAATTGGGAAAATTTCATCTAGAATAGGAAATCTTGATGGTGTACTTTTTTGGGGTGCTTAATTACACCAAATCCACTACCAATAAATTTAGTCAATGAAATTGGACAAACAAAAATTACTAGAGCTCTTCTATACTCGGAAAGAATACACATCAAACTGAAGGTGGGAAGTGATGTCTATCACACAGGTTTACTTGTTCCAGACATGTATAGAAGCTAACTAAAGCATGAATGTTTTGACTTCAGTTTTATCACTGTCGAAAGTGGCAAAAATGTCGTAACATACAACATAAGCCTGGAACATACTATCTTAGTCTCTGCTCTGTTGCTGGGGAGAGACCATTTCATGGCAACTCTGGTGCACTGGAGCAGGAGCTGAGCGCTACATCCTGATCCTGGGCCTCCCATGGGTTTTTGAAACTCCCAGGGACACATTTCCTCAAATAAGGCCATACCTCCTAAACTTTTCAAATAGTGCCACTCCCTAGGGACTGAACATTCAAATATAGGAGCCTATGCGGGCCATTCTTACTCAAACCACCACTCATAGATACTCCTTTCTAAACTGCTTAGACACATGCCTTTGGTAAACACTGCTATCCCATGGTCACTGCAGGCACACTCACTCTATCAATTCTCACAAGTAAGTAAGGTACACTGCCAGGGTGAGGTATAGAGCAGTGGCAGAGGGCTCGCTCTCCTGGCACAAACAACTCCTCCGGTTTTAGTTTCCTCAAGTCTGGGTCTTCTTTCCATCACTATTACCTCTGCTCTTCAAAAAGAATCTGAAGTCTGGTGGTGGTGGTGCATACCTTTAATTCCAACATTGCTGAGTTACACAGAGAAACCTTGTCTCAAAAAACCAAGAATGTGAAAACTAATTCATGTTAACATAAAAGCAACATGTTTACCAAGTCCTCACACTGAAACCAGAGAAAATGCTCCTTTGTCCAGGTAAATATTTTAATTTGAACATGATTTCAAATTGCATTTTGTTCAAAAGACAACCTAAGTAAAATTTAAGCATCTGGCTCGATAAGTTTCTAAGTAATGGTAGGGATGAAAAAGGAATTGGCTTTGTAGTTCACTGATCCTAAATTTTCTACCTCCTACCTCAGCCCCATGAATGCTGGGATCCCAGGCATCTCCTTGCATAAATATTCACATTAAACTAGTGTCATAAATCTTCAAGATGCAGCAAAAGATGAGTATTTTAAAGTTACATGGGAGCATGCTCATACTTCATGCGCTTTTATTAAAGGAGACGGGGCAAAAGAACCTAGCTATGACACATATATCCCACAGCTACCCACACCCCTAAACTTTGTCTCTAACCACATTTCCGAGTACTTGTACATTTGTGTTCACGGTGTTTAGACTAAGAATCATCGACAACACGAAAGATGGATCAGTCTATCAGGGCAGCCACATCACAGCATAAAAGGTATCACTTAACACCGGCAATGGTACCATAGAGTACAAGGCATTTCCATAAGAATGCACTCTGCAGGGTGTGCAACAGATCCATGGAGTGACTTCCAGACCAGCCAAGACTACAGAGCCAGACCCTATCTCAAAAAAGAAAAGAAAAATTACAATATTTCTATACTAACAAATTTCTAATCCTCACATTCTCATATAAGGTATAACAAGTATTAGGTCAACAGAATTACAAAAATACTAAAATTAGCAAGGATAGTAGTGCGCTTTATTATAGTCCCAGCTCTAAGGAGGCAAAGAAATCATACAAGAACCAATCTCAGCTACATACCAAATTTAAGACCACCATGAACTATAAAAGTTTAAAAACAAAACAAAAACAAAAATAGGGGTCAAGGAAGGAGCCCAGCAGCATAAAAACAAATTTAAATCACTAGCTTACTTGAAGAAATTAATTCACACTTCTTAGAGTTAAATTTATCTGCTTTTTAAAAACTGATTCCATTTTCATGGGTGCACTTCACAAGCCATGGAGGTCCAGTTCTATTCCACGCAGCTCCTGGAGATCACATCAGGTCACTGGACTTACGCAGCAAGCATCTTCACCTCCTCAGCCATCCCGCCAGCACTAAATGTATCCCCTTTAAACATTACTATCCATGGGCCACTTATCTTACTTGAAGAAATTAACTATGTATAGACTATTATATACAGAACTAATTAACATTAGTAATAACCAACAGTAACATCACCTCACAGGCTACTTAAGTCTAAAACTTTATTTTATCCTCATACTGAAAACTGTCAGTATGGGCTTTTCTTTTTGTTATTTTGTATTCAGCTACAATTTCTAGATTCAGACCGAAGTTGACAGAGTGACAATAGGAAACACCCTAAACCAAAAGGCAAGAAGCACCTGAAGGGTAATGACAAGCCTTCCCACAGGTACTTGCTCACTGACCACTGTTTCAGTCAAGCTCCAAGCTGGCAGTTGCTCACCCTTCATCAGCAATGAATTCCATATGTAAATTTTCTCTGTGTGTGTGTTAAGTATTATCTAATAAGAGAAATACACAAAAACTAGGGTATAATTTACTAGTTAGCATAAACACAAAAAAAATTAACCATAATTCAGTCATTAATTTTGTTAGATCATACCTAAAGTCCAAGTTACTATAAAGTTACTAAGGAACTTTAGTGTTGAGATCTGAGCGCACAAATCTGTATTTGGCTCTCTAATTCACTTTCTCCCTTTGGCAGACTCCAAACACCCATAAAGGAGGCCTCAAGGATGGCTTCTAGCCACTGGAATGAGACCACCACCTCCGTTTATCAGTACCTCGGCTTTCAAGTCCAAACCATCTACCCTTTCCATGACAACTGGAACACTGCCTGCTTTGTCATCCTGCTCGTGTTCATCTTTACTGTGGTGTCCTTAGCTGTGCTGGCTTTCCTCTACGAAGCCCTCGACTGCTGCTGCTGCGCCAAGAACAAAACCGTGAAGGACTTGAAGAGCGAGCCGAACCCTCTCAGGAGTATGATGAACAACATCAGAAAACGTGACAGTGAGGTGGTCTAGCCCTTCTCAGAGGAGGAACAAAAGCTTTAAAAACAGCCTTCTGCCTCGTCTGAGGAAAATGAAAATTTCCTGAAGCCAATCGTTTCAACAAAATTGTTTCTGACTTTGAATGTCCACAAGATTTCTAGTAGAAAACAAGTGAAGTGTGCACTTCTGTGTGTGTGTCCTTCATTAAATACACAGTTCATAACAGGAACTTACCAGTCTACTTAATACAGCATCTCGAAACTAGATGAACTATTCCCAGCATGCACTACTGGGAACACTGTGCAGCAGTGTTCCCATTTCCAGGCAAACTAAAAACTAAGAGCTAACTGCTAAAATAAGTAACTTGTGCCTAGTCACACAGGTTTAAAAAAGTGCTTCAGTAGCAAAATCCTACTTAAAATGTGCCTCTAAGTCAAGAGTAAAACATTCCTGGGTCAGCAACGGTGGTAGATGCCTTTAATCCCAACATTTGGGAAGCAGAGGCAGGCGGATCTGAGTTCAAGGACAGCCTGGTACACAGTGAGTTCTGGTACAGCCTAAGCTGTTGCACCGAGAAACCCTTTCTGGGGTGGGGGTGGGGAGGACATTTCCACTCCAGAGCCCCTTTGTTATGGCAGGAGAAAGGGATGAGAGAGTCTTGATACGCAGTCCACCCTGCCTTAGTCTTCAAAATGATGGGATCACAGGCACAGAGCCCCTACTTTTTAGAAATCTAGTACTTTTTTTTTTTTTTTTTTTGGTTTTTCGAGACAGGCTTTCTCTGTGGCTTTGGAGCCTGTCCTGGAACTAGCTCTGTAGACCAGGCTGGTCTCGAACTCACAGAGATCCGCCTGCCTCTGCCTCCCAAGTGCTAGAAATCTAGTACTTTAAAACTGACTAAGGACATATATTTACTTATTTACTTTTGGGTTTTTTTTTTGAGTTAGGGTTTCTCTATGTACACCAGGCTGTCCTCAACCTCAGATCCACCTGCTTCTACTTCCTGAGTGCTGGGATTAAAGAGGTGCACCGCCACCCAGCTGATTATTTTTACTTCTGCTATTCAAGCTATCAAGACCTAAACATACTCAATGCAGAAAAGTGCAAAGAAAGGTGAAAAGCTTTTGTTAGGGCTGACAGAGTAATGATGTATACTGGGGATTTGAGGTTTTTTTATTTTGTTCATTTTGAAATGCAGCCCAAGCTGACCTACATTCCCTCGAATACTGGGATTCAGGTTTACACTACCCACCAAGCCCCACCCTGCTCTAATGATAGTATTAGAGACACTCAACACCTACAGAACTGAGGCAGTGTGGGGTAAAGCGCTAGCCATAAGACAATGAATTCGGGTCCTCTGAACCCACAGAAAGCCGGCAGCTCAAGGCTGCACTGCAGCACTCGTATAGCAAAGACAGGACGCCCTCCTGAAGCTCACGGGCTGGCTAGCTGGGCTACAGACACCGTTTCTAGAAGAAAGGCAATGAAAGACACCTGCAGTTGACTTCTGGCCTCTACACACATTCCATGGCACAAGTGTGCACACACTCTTAAAAAAAATGTGATAGTTTTATGCCAGGTGTGGTGCACACGCCTGTAATCCCAGCAGACGCAGAGACTGCCACAAGACCAAGGCCAGCAGGACCTGGCTTAGGAAAGGAAAGGAAAGAGGAAAGAGGAAAGGCAAAGGACGAAAGGAAGGAAAGAAGTTTCCTTTTATGTTCGTTTTTTATTTTATGCGTATGGATGTTCGGCCTGTGTTTATGCGCACTACCTATGTGCCTGCTGCCCATACAGGCCAGAAGAGGGCATAAGATGCTGTGGAACTAGAGTTAACTAAACTGCCATATGCGTCCAGAGAATTAAGCCTGGCTCCTCTCTGCAAGAACAGCAAGTGCTCTTAACAGATGATACATCTCTCCAGACCATTTTATTTCTTGATATACCTGTGATATGCTGTGGAACTAGAGTTAACTAAACTGCCATATGCATCCAGAGAATTAAGCAAGTGCTCTCAACAGATGATACATCTCTCCAGACCATTTTATTTCTTGATATACCAATGGCTATGTAGATAATATATTTTACAAATTTAATACTGCTTTGCTATTACATATGAGGAAATCTTAAAAAAATCATTAAACTACCTTTAGGCTATAAACAGCAGCTACAAATTTACTTCAGGTAATTATCTCAGAATAAATCATCCTTATCTGTGCATAAAAATGTAATAATGAAATCCATTATTCTAATGGACTAAATTAAAAATATAAGCTATTTTTAAAAACTACATTAGGGGCTGGAAAGATAGCTTAGTAGTTAAGAACATTTGTTGCTCCTCTAGAGGATCTAGGTTCAATTCCTAACACCCAAAGGGAAGCTCACATCTGTGACTACAGCTCAATCAAATGGCCTTTTCCAATCTCCCCAGGCACCAGCCACGAATGTGGTGCATGGACATACATGAAGGCAGAACACCTATACACAAAAATAATCATTAAAAAGAGATTTAAGTAGATCTTAAAAAGCAAATGAAAAGGAGCTAGAGAGATGGCTAGGTCAAGAGCACTTGCTGCTCTCTGAGGATCTGCATTTAGTTCCCAGCATCTCCGCGGTAACTCACAACCATGTAACACTAGCTCCAGGAGATCCATTACCCTTCTCTGTTCTCTGCAGACACTGCATGCATCTGATACACATACATACATACAGGCAAGACACTCATACATGGAAAAATGTTTAAAAAAAATGTAAAAAAACAGACTCACTCTGAAAAAGCAAACAAGCAAGCAGCTGGGGCTGAGAACCCTGCATACCCTGGGTTCAAACCCTATACTGCAATAAGGTAAAAATAAAAAAGAAGCTCAGTGGACAGAGATTATTTCCAATATTAACAAAAAATGAAAATACCTTTTACTAAATATACCAAGTCATTTTACTGGATTACAAGGCCACTTAATACTATTACAAAACAAAATAGTGTTTTATATTTGAAGTGAAAAAAAAAATCAATTCTGAACTTTAACATTTTATTTTGTGCATATGTGTTGGTAGAAGTGTGCATGTGCGGTGCAGAGGCCACAGGAGGACAGCAGATGTCGTCCTCCACCGCTCTCCACCTTTTTTTTTTTTTTTAAATGGTCTCACTGAACCTGGAGCTTGCTGATTGGCAAGAGTGGCTGGCCAGCAATCCCTAGGGATCATACTGTCTGTCTCCGCAGCACTGGCTGCACCCCACTTTATATATGGGTGCTGGGAATCCAATCTCGGGTCTTCCTGACTACACAGAAAGCACTTTACCAACTGAGCCACCCCAGTTCTAATTAGTTAACATAACAGATGCTATTTTAAGTTTATACACACAAAGACTGAAGACAAATGCAGAATAACTGGCATGTTTAGAGGATCGTGGCTGAGCAGCAGTTTCCTGGAAGTTAAACATTACATCCTGCAGGGAAGCTCAAGATAGGAAGCAAACAAGTCAACACAGCCTCACTAGTCCCTGAAACTAGGCCTCTCCCTTCCCAAGAATATACAAACACACGTGTAGGCAAAACACTCATACACATAAAAATAAGTGTTAAAACGTAAAATCTCAGATTCACTACGCCTCTACCTCTCCAAGAATATATAAACACACCAATATATACAGGCTGCTAAGTCACACTCAGACAAACCTCTGGGAACAGAGACCAGCTGAGCCATCTGGAAAGGACAATCCTCAGCCAGTGGAGGTGCCTACTAGGTGTCCAGCTTTGGTGATGCAGCTGAGTCCTTTCTGCTCTTGTAAATAACCCTAATAAAACTCCTTAGTAGTATACATTCTTTGTTCTGACAATCAGTTCCTTATTTAAGTAAGGAGAGTGGGGGTGGGGGTGTCCTCCCTAGGAAGTCTTTACACAATCGTGGAGAGTGCTAGGGTTTGCAGGGGCTGTTTCTTCTTCTTTTTATTTCATCTCCACTATTGATGGGACGACTTTTTGTACATAACTATGTAAAGAAAAGGGAGCAGAAATCTATTAATTTCAAAGAACACTAATTTGCAGCACAAAATCACTTTTCCAGGAAGCATTACCTTTTTCACATTTTCCTAACTAACATAAATACAAAGCTGGACATGGTGGCTCACCTCTTCGCTCCCAGTCAGGAGACAGAGGCAGAAAGACTGTCATGTATCAAAACCAGCCTTGGCTACACAGTAAGTTCCAGGCCAGCCTTGTACTACAGTAACATCATTTCTCAAAATAATGATAATACTAATAATAACCTAAATATAAAAAATACTATGTAGCCAGGAACTGATGTGGGATTCCCCTCTGTATGCTGTGAATACCATTGGTTAATAAAGGACTGTCTTGGGCTAAGATTTAAGTTTTAAACTACTATTCTGAATAAGATGATGAATCTTTGTCTTGCTCTGTCCGTCCTGGGTCATGGGTATCCATTCTGTATATACTTTCCATGTAAGCTATCAAGTAACTGCCTAGGTTGTCAGATCCACTACCAAGATAATGCAGTTTTTGTATTCAAGTAACCCCTATATAGGGCCCAACACCACACAGGGGTTAAAGCATTCATCATAAGACTAAAATACTTTGACAGTTTCCTTAAAAGCTAAACATAAATTCACATTATCCAGAAACTCCATTCCTGAGTTCTGTATTCAGTAGAAATAAAAGCACTTAGGAGGCAGAGGCAGGAGAATTATTGCATGTGAGACTACCCCGACCCACCTAGTGAACTTCAAGCCAGACTGGGCTACATAGCAAAATCCTATCTCACACCCCCTCAACCATTAAATAAGCAAGTGGTGATACATCCATACAACAAAGAATACTCTTTGGCAATAAAGTACTGATTCACCCAATAAAATGGATAAACATAAAAAACATTAAAAGAAGCCACATATAAAAGATCACTGTCTATGTAAGTCTACATATAGCAATTGTCCAGAAAAGACAAATATGTAGACAGCAAGTATATTATTGGTTATCTGGGTCTGGGGTCAGAAGTCACTGCAAATGAGCACCTGCCAGTCCTTTGAGGGATGACGGAAATGGTCTAGAACAGGAGTGATAGTTGTTCCGTATTTACTAAAAATATTTACACTATATCACTACAATTGTGGGTTATATAAGGCAAACCTCAATAAAGTTTTTGTTCTGGTTTTGCTTTACCCCTTCTCCCTGTACATAACTGTATGCGTTCTTCCTCTTTAGTTTTATGTGCACGGATGTTTTGCCTGCATGTATCTGTGTACTACTTGCATGCAGTGCCCCCGGAGGCCAGAAAAGGCTGTTAGATCCCCTGGAACCAGAGTTATAGGCATTTGTGAGCTGCTATGTGGGTTCTGGGAATCAAACCCAGGTCCACCTGAAGAGCAGCCAGTACTCCTAACCAATGAGCCACCTCTCCAGCCCTGATACTTTTATTTTTAAAAAGTTAATATCCTAATTTTTAAAACATGAGACTACTATAAACATAGTAAGGACTTAAATTTCATCCTTTATATTTAATGATGAATCTAAAACTCATTAAGAATATTAAACTTACTAGGTTATGTAATAGCACAAGTCTTAAATCTCAGCACTCAGGAGGCAGAGGTAGGCATCTCTGTGGGATTATCTACATAGAAGTTCCAGAGCAGACACCCTGTCTCAAAAATAAACTGAACCTGAGCTCCACAGACACCCTGTCTCAAAAATAAACTGAACCTGAGAAATGCAAATCAAAACAACTCTGAGATTCCATCCTACACCTGTAAGAATAACCAAGATCAAAAACACTGATAACAATTTATACTGGAGAGGGTGTGGGATAAAGGGAACACTCCTGCATTGCTGGAGGAAGTGCAAATTGGTATAGCCCCTGTAGATATCAGTATGGCGACTTCTCAGGAAATTAGGAAACAGCCTTCCTCAAGACCCAGCAATACCACTTTTGGGTATATACCCAAAGGATGCTCAATCATACCACAAGAACATGTGCTCAATTATGTTCATAGCTGCTTTGTTTGTCATAGCCAGAATCTGGAAACAACCTAAATGCCCCCGACCGAAGAATAGATAAGGAAAATGTGGTACATTTACATAATGGAGTACGACACAGCAGAAAAAAAAACCCGACATCTTGAAATTTGCTGGCAAAATCTAGAAATCATATTGAGTGTGGTAACCCAGACCCAGAAAGACAAAAATATCATGTACTCACTCATAAGTGGCTTTCAGACATAAAATCAGCCTACAATTCACAATCCCAGAGAACTTAGACAACAACAAGGACCCTAAGAAAGATATACTGGATCTAATCTACATGGGAAGTAGAAAAAGACAAGATCTCCTGAGTAAATTGGGAGCATGGGGACCACGGGAAGAGGGTTTAAGGGAAGGGGAGGGGAGAAGAAGGGAGGGGAGCAGAGAAAAATGCATAGCTCAATAAAGTCAATTAAAAAAAGGATTAAAATAAACAGACAAATGAACTTAACTTGCTACTACTAGCTACCTGAAAAATGAAACCAACAATCCTAAGACAATTCTACTCACCTGCATTTTGTTTAGAGCCTGATGTCCCTCCATGTTCAACTTTTGCTTTCTTCTTCTTGGATGAGGCAGAGGGCAACTCAGAAGGCACAGAACGTTTTTCTACCACAGGGGTGGAAAGAGCTCTTTTTTTGAAGAGCTCTCGGTCTCTCAACAGGCTTGGATCCATAATGCTATAAAAACAAACACATCTTTAATATAAATTCCGAAGACTCAAACCTGCATGCCAAGTCTACAGACCTTGGCAAGTTAGTCCCTACAAAATGATCTTTTAATTTGCTAACATTTATATTTACTCACTTTTTTTTTAAAAAAATGATGCACTAGGCAGTAGTGAGGTCAGTAAAACATGACTATTCTCCAAAGCCCTGCAGTTATGCTGCCCAAGACAGCGATTAACTATGACCTACAGGTGACGTGTGCTAGTTAGACCTCACTTAAGTATATCAAGACTGCAGGGCTGGGGATGTAGCTGTTGGTTCAGTGCTAGCCTAGCACACACACAAGGTCCTGAGTTAAATCCTTTTTTTGTTGTTTGGTTTTTTTGTTTTTGTTTTTGATTTTCGAGACAGGGTTTCTCTGTAGTTTTGGAGCCTGTCCTGGAACTAGCTCTGTAGACCAGGCTGGTCTCGAACTCACAGAGATCCGCCTGCCTCTGCCTCCCAAGTACTGGAACTAAAGGCGTGCGACACCATCACCAGCTTTAACAATGGATGTAGTGATGCAGGTCAGTAACCCAACACTCTTGAGGTGGACAGGAAGTTCAAGGTCATTCTCAGCTGGATAGCCCAAGGCCAGCATGGGCTAACACAGGGCCTTGTCTCCAAAACAGGCTCACACGCACACAAACCTTATGACCTGACACCTAAAGAACCCTGTAAGTACAAAGGAGATGCCCTGTATTAATTGCATGTGTGAGTATTTTTAGATATTTTTAATAATATATTTCACTAATTATTTAAAAATGTATTGTTGTGTGTGCATGCCAGCTCATGTTCATAAATGTAAGAATGAGTACACAGCCTTCATTATGTGTGTGGAAGCTGAGGACAAGACAACTCTGAGGAATCTGCTCTTGCTTTCCACCTTCTTTCTTGTTCCTGCCACTCTGTATACTTCACAGCAACTGCCTGGGAGCTTCAGAGCAATCCTGTCTCCACCTCTTGTCTTGATGTTGGAGTAAATAGGATTATAGATGACAGCTACCCAGACACAACATCCAGCTCTTTGCAGGTTCTAGGGAGTAAACTTAAGCCCCGAGACTTGCACTGCACACATTTTTACCTGCTGAGCCATCCCCTCAGTCCAAATTTTACTTTTTAAAGCGATATAGCAGCTATACCTCAAGTGGTACTCAGTCCAATTTCACCAATTTTTACTTTTTAAAAATATACAGAGTGTCACTGGTCTGAAGAGCAGTGGCTGCACCTCGAGTGGCATGACCCCGGCTGGAGTAGAGGTGCACAAGTCCTTCCCGGACTATCTCATGAGTAAGCTGGCGGACCCAGCTGCCAACTGGGTCTCCCCATTCCGGCCATCAATGACATTTAGAAGTCTCCAGAGATTATCAGTGGGTGGATGACTTTCATCCTGTTGCTATACTTTGAGATTCATGAGATTTGCCTACAAGGTACAACCTGGAACCCGGCTTCTGATTTTGTCATGTAACAAATGAAGTTGAACAGTTTATCAACTAAAGAGGAACAGAGAGTCCCTCTCTAGCAAAGCAAGAGCCAGATCGGGAAGGGACTGTGTCCCAGCCACTTCTGCCAAGCCACAGATCAGCAGATAGTTTTGCTGAAAAACACAAAATGCTCTGTTTAATAACCTTGCCAACTCTGTAAAAAGCCAAGAAATCCCACACCAACTCTCGGCTGCCTTATCAGCACTAGCAGCTGTCTTTAGAGCAGTCCAAAATATGCGACTAATTTAATAATCTTAACTGATATTTTTATATGCAGTCATCTGTACAAATATGTATATTATCTATTGGAGCTTGTACAATAAAAATCAAAGGGAACAAAGTTTTGTAAATTAAGTACTAAACTTTCTTGACTTTTTCCTTAATGACTGCAGTATATCCCTCAGTTAGCCACACGCCCACACATGACCTCCAGTGATGAAAATTACCAGTGTTCGCCACAGTGCATAAACTCAGATTTGTAATTTAATGGCAATAAATAATTTGCACGCACATACAAACATATTTATATAAACACACCTCTGTGTCTTTGTCTCTGTTTCTCTGACTCCATCTCTCGGTGCATCTCTGTCACTGTCTCTGGCTGGGGATATAGTATAGTTGACAGAATCCCAGCACCACAAACACGCAAATTTTAATTACAAATATGGCTCACACTTGGAGCTCACATTATTATTTCTGCTATGGACCAGTGCTCTAGAAACAAAAATCTGGACAGAACTAGGAAGCAAATTTAGGGAGGGAGGGCAGGAGGGAATCAGAGCTGCTATAAATAAAATGTTGTAGCTTAGAAACCAGTGTACTCTTATTAACTAAGGAAGCTGGGTTAAAGTATTTAAAACATCTACAGCAGCTAGGCACAGTGGTGCATGCCTTTAATCTCAGCACTCTGGAGGCAGAAGCAGGCAGAGTTCTAGCTAGTCTACATAGAGAATTCTAGGAAACTAGGACCAAGTTAGACATTGGGGGGGGGGGTTGAGGGGCACACAGGGAATCCTTGGAAGAAATCTGGAAGAAAAATCCTGATTTGGAAGGACATAGACCTAAATGATCATTTTGTTTTCCTCCTTCCCAGTTATAAAATTCAGCAATTTTACGCAATCTCAACACAACCAGAAGAATCACCAAGGAACTTTTTTTTTGGGGGGGGGGGTTCGAGACAGGGTTTCTCTGTGGCTTTGGAGCCTGTCCCGAAACTACCTCTGTAGACCAGGCTGGCCTCAAACTCAAGAGATCCGCCTGCCTCTGCCTCCCAAGTGCTGGGATTAAAGGTGTGCACCACCAAGCCGCCTGGTTTAATCACCAAGAATCTTAGAAAAATTCTTTTCTCAGCTCTTCCTAGCACCCTGCAGAGGGTCTCAGAAAAGCTCATACCTGCCCCTATGACTGAATTTCACACTACTGTTCAGAAAGGAAGAGAAAGACAGCTATACAGAGGATCCCTGACTTTTCACTGGGGTTATACCGGATAAGACATTTTTTAAGTTGAGAATGCATTTAATACATCCTGAACATAAATGCCTAGCAACCCAGTACACAATGCAGTACCAATGGTGCCCTTGTGATGTCATTAGGGATTGGGAGCTAGGCATCATACAACATAGTGCTAAGCCTGGGAACACATCATAACCCCAAATTCAGTTTTTACTGAATAACTATTGCTTCCGCATCTTCAGGGAAGCTGAAGAATCCTAACTGGTTCCATATGCTGCACGGGGTACAAAACCAGGAAGATAAGATGTGCCACAGGCCTTTAATCGCAGCAAACTGAAGAGGCAGAGGCAGGTGACCTCTGAGTTTAGGGCAGCACCTAATCTACAGAGTCCCAGGACAACCAGAGCTACACACAGCAGAAGCCCCACTTCAAAATAAAAAAAAAAGAAAGAAAGAAAAAGAAAAGAAACAAACAGTAAGATGGAGACTGGAGAAACAGCTTAACAGTAAGTAGCTTGTGATGGGCATTCACGAAGCCTCAGATTTAATCTTGATGAGAGAAGGCAGAGAGAAGGGAGGGAGGGGAAAGAGAGAAGGGGAAATAAAGAAAGAAAAAAGGAAAAACATAAGAAACACATGAGTTGACGATTTCCTGGTCTAAGTAAAACAGCTGCTTCTCTCAGGTTCAATCCCGAAATCTGGGTAATAACAATCTACAGGCTAAACTCGGTTCCTTGGCGGGGAGGGAGGCTGTCAAATGTTGTACCTGTTGGGCTCAACTGCAAAAGTGAGAAAGTGTTAGGAAGTTTTTTTTCCCCCCCAAGAGTAATTGTTATTCTGGTTGTATTTGGTAAGAAATAACAACTATAAATATGCAAGTGAGGAAGGTAGGACTCTTGGGAGGAGGAAAAGTGTGAAAACAAGAATAAGAAAAACTTCCCAAGTGAGACGACAGGAAACAGGCAGATTGCAACTCCTAAAACAGGGCACATTTCTATTTTACTTAGTAAGGGCAGGTGATTTTAATAAAGACCTTAAGACAGCTCGAAGCTGTACAATTTACAAAAACTTAACAGTACACAAAGCCCACAGCTCTAAAGACTGGGCATTAGTGCTATCGCTATCCCTAACTTTAACAAATAAAACCTGAACTGGAAAAGCACAACTAAGATCACCGCTGGAAGAGATCAAGAGTTCGAAACCACCCGGAAAGGACTCTAAGACAAAAGCGACCTATGTGGTACCAACAAAGGCACCCAGAACGAGCAGCTAACTCTTTCGTGTTCCAGCTAACTTTCCCTCCTTTTGCAGCATCTGCGAGCTAACCCGTGTGGCAGAGAAATTAAATTTCACGTCCACTTTTCATTATTTTGGGCAATCAAAAGCACCAAACAGGATACCCAACTGAGAGTTGGGACGTTTCACAGGGCACAGATACTGAGAAGGTAAAACTGAACATCTTCAGGCTCCACTGCCCAGTTCTTTCCACCCCAGAACCTACCATCTTTCAGCCTATCTTTGCCTTCTCTGCTGGCCCGCGCCTCCCGGGTGTCCCTGGCACCAGCGCGCACCAAGAAACGGACCGAAGCGTCCGGATCTGGAAAATGCTTCCCGACTCCGCAGAAAACACCCAACTCAAGTTCAGAAGCATTAGAAAAGGCAGGGCAGACGCCAGTCGGGAGGGGACGCCGTGGTCCCCCCACTTCTACTCTACACACGCCGCGCTCGCCTGCTAACGTAAACTTAGGGGGTCCAGGGGCCGCACAACCCGTTCGCCCACCGGGAATCTTCCCGCTTTCCAACCCAAAAGTTTGCCTTCTGGACCTCCGGCCTAAAAGACAAAGCTGGCTGGAAGCGAGCCCCTTTCGGGGGTGTTCGGCTTGGCGAACCCGCTCGGCGGCGGTGTGGCGTCCACGCGCGTCCCTTCGGAAGCCGCGTCTCCCGGGGGACTCGCCGCTTCGCCCGCCACCGCGGCTCCTACCTCAGCGCCCGCAGCCCGCGCTGCCTCCCGGCCTCCGCCTCGGCCGCACGCACACCCGCCCGGCAGCCCGGCCGCCCACCGCGGCTCCGCTTCCCGCCCCTCGTCCGCGGCCCCCGCCGCCGCGCGCACGCCCAGCGCCGACCTACCGAGGGGCGTCCAGCCACTGGCCGCCGAGCCCGCTCCGCCCTCCACTTCCTGGTCGGGCGGCTGGACGCTCGCTCCCGGCAACCACCGCGTCGCCGCTCCGAAAACACCCGTGCGTCACTGCGTGCCCCGCCTTGTGGCCCGATGAAAGGCGGAGCCTGCTGTGGCATGCCGAGTCTCCATGACGACCGGAGGCCGCTTGGAGGCTGCTGGCAACTTCAAGATCCACAGCTCTCAGAGCGAGAAGACGCCTTTCTTGGCAGGAAGTCAGAGCTTAGGAACAAATCCTCCAACAGGCTCTGGAGTTTCATCCAACTGGGTACATTATCAACACTTTCTTTGTGATTTTTTTTTGGGGGGGGAGGGGGTTTTGGTTTTTTTGAGATAAGGACTTACTCTGTTGCCCTGGTTGGTCTGGAACTTGAGATATAGACTATTTTGGCCTCAAAGTTTCCTGCCTCAGCCTCCCTAGTGCTGAGTCTAAGCGTTACAGACGTGTGCTCCACGCCAGACTTTACCTTAAATGCCACTCACCAGCACCTAATTTTAGAGACTTACTCCACCAATTCTTTAACAAGTGAAAAACAGAAACAAAACAGCCTAGCAAAAGCAAACTCAGACACAGAACTCGGCTTCTGCGCTTCGAACACGGGCTCTTTCCATACCTGTGAATTGTCTTAGACAAAACTTTTGAATTCAGAGACAATATGAGATGGGGGTGGGGGCCGGGAAGAACAAAATCTTTGGCCCATCCTGCACCCTAGAACTATCCTTTCCCGTTCATACAGCCTTAGCTAGTGCTCACATATTCTGTAGCTGAAGTTTCCCTCGGCCTCAGTTCTGTCTCTACCAAGAGAGGATACTACTGACGGAGGAGCTAGCTTTTTTATAGCTATGTCTTTGTCAGGTCCAAAGGAAACTCCAATTCCCCAAACTCAAAGATAGTTCAAAGATCCAGAAATGAACTCAGTCTGGACTATAGGAGGATTCCCGGGGATCAGACAAAAGCCATCATTCTTCAGGAACTTGTGAAGCTGGCTTCTGTCTAGCAAAACTTTATCCCCTTTGCCTCCAGCAAAAGTGACCTATGGCTCTCCAATTAACACACCTTAGCTTAGCAGGCAGCCATCAGCACAAGGTCCACATTATCCTCCAGGTTCCTTCCGTCCCTACTCACAAGCACCTTTATACATTTCAAAGCCCCCACACCAGTCATCTGGCCCTCCCTGTCCACCAGTTACTCACTCTTATTAGGGTGGGGAGATTTCGAGTCAGGACTTCTCTGTGTAACCTTGGCTGTCCGTGAACTAATTCTGTAGACCAAGCTGGCCTCAAACTCACGGGGATCCTCCTGCCTCTGCCTTCCGAATGCTGGGATTAAAGGCATGCGCCACCCCTGCTGGTCTAACCCCCTTTCTTATAACCCGGTCGTTCTCACTACCCTGGTTCCTGCTCCTCTCTTCTCATTTTGTTCTCTCTGTTCTTTATCTCCGGTTATCTTCCACCCTCTCACAGATGGGCCTGACCGTGTCCAGTCTGCCAGCCATGCTCAATCTACTTTCTCTGCTCTGGGCTCTTCCAGATGCCTCTGGGTGTTCTCTCTCTCATATTTACAATAAAAACCTTCCCCTTGACTATATCGTGGAGCAGGCATGTCGGCAGTTTCTTTCCTGCACCGCCCCCCCCCATACACAAATACAGTATTAGGGTTTCCGTTGCTGTGGTGAAAAACCATGACCAAAGTAACTTGGGAAGGAAAGGATGAAATAGCTTACACTTGCAGGTAACAGTCCATCGCTGAGAAAAGCCAGGACAGGAACCTGAAGACGGGAGCTGAAGCAGAGAAGAGTTACTTCCTAGCGTGCCCCTCGTGACTTGATTAGCATGCTTTCTTATAGAACCCAGCACCACGTGCCCAGCTCCAGGTGCCTACAGTTCTTACAAAACCCCGTTCCACCTGCCTACAGTTCCATCTTATGTATGGAAGCAGTTTTTTTTTATTATTTATTTATTTATTATGTATACAATATTCTGTCTGTGTGTATGTCTGCAGGCCAGAAGAGGGCACCAGACATCATTACAGATGGTTGTGAGCCACCATGTGGTTGGTTGCTGGGAATTGAACTCAGGACCTTTGGAAGAGCAGGCAATGCTCTTAACCACTGAGCCATCTCTCCAGCTCCCCTGGAAGCAGTTTCTTAACTGAGGTTCCCTCCTCTCAGATGTCTTTAGCTTGTGCCAAGTTGACGTAAAATTATCCAGCACAACCTCAGGCTGCCCACCTATGTTACAGAGAATGGCGTTCAGGTTACAAAGGATCTCAGCATAAAACAGACCAGAAACAGTAGGGACGAGGAACAAGCTTGCAGCTGGGGATGAGGTAGCTGAGCAGACCCAGTAAGAAACAGAAAGCTCTGAGAGACAAGGTCAGTATCATCAGGCTGGTTGGCTAGCTTCCACCCCTCCTGGGGATTGCACGCTAGGTGCCATTGTTCTTTTATATATCCCTGCTTCTCACGAAGCTTTTTGTGACAGGCCAAATTGTTTATAAAAATGACGTTTAAGAGGCTTTCAGCCTACATGGTGGAAGAAACACCAGATGATCTGGTGCTACCGTGGACAAGTGAAGAGTTGGCCGAACAGCTGCGGACAGCCAGGTCTCAGCTGTGAGAACAAGAAGCTTAGTACAAACAGCAGCACAGGCAACACCTGCAAGGTCCTAGAAATACAACGCAGCCAAGGGACCGATAGCTCGCAAACAATCAAGGTTAATAACTAACAAAGCTGGAGCCAGAGATGGGCAGAGAGGGCTCCCTCCACCCCGACTGAACTGGATGCGTATGAACAGTCCATGATCATCTCCCTGCTAGGGCTAGAGTGTACGGCCCTCCAACGAGTGAGCCTGTGATAGCCCAGAGATCTCAATAGCAACTACCTCAGCGTTTCTCCAGTGTCTGCCTTGGCCCTCTATAAAAGCCCTTTGGCAAGGAGATTAAAGACTTTTATCTCTCTGAGGAGCCCCTCCCACTCCCTGGAGTGTCTCACTTTTCCTTACTATCTTTTGATAAGGCTTTGCTTTTGATTTCCTTTCCCCCACGACTACCTACATCTTTAATCATCACTGGGGTGAGACACTTAATCCGGGGGCCACTGTCTCAGGACTATCTTCGGTGATCTGGAGTATCTGGGTCCCTTGGTCTTTGGGTCAAGTACATCTGTTCTGAGAAGGGTCTCATGACATTTTTAAAATAAACCTCAGCAGCCCTAGTACTGCCATGATGAGTTAGTTATTCAAGGTAGACAATGATTAAGATTAAATAAGATAATGCCTGAAATTGTATTCAAAGACGTGGAAATAATATGAAAAATTATTATGGTGTGACCTTCTAGTTCACCCTGATACAGCTGTGGTCGTCCGCTATACCCTCAGGGGGTATAACTTCATTACAATAATCATTGATAGCAAGCAGAACTTTTATTTATTTTCTTTAATATTTATTCATTTATTTTGTATACAATATTCTGTCTGTGCATATGCCTGCAGGCCAGAAGAGGGCACCAGACCTCATTACAGATGGTTGTGAGCCACCGTGTGGTTGTTGGGAATTGAACTCAGGACCTTTGGAAGAGCACGCAATGCTCTTAACCGCTGGGCCCAAGAACTTTTAGAATGAATCTCTCTCTCTCTCTCTCTCTCTCTCGCTCTCGCTCTCTCACTGTGTATTGTGTGTGAGAGAGAATTTATTGGATGATTTGCAGACTGCAGTCCAACACTGGCTAGCTGTAAATGGAAAGTCCAAGAACCTAGTAGGGGCTCCGTCTCACGAAGCTGGGCGTCTCAGACGGTCTTCTGTACGTGTGGGAATCGCGAAGAGGTAGGCTTCAATGCAGTGAAGGAAGAGATGATGTGCTGACAAGGCAAGGACAAGCAGGTGCACAGTCCCTTCCTTCTATTGTCCTTCTATAAACTTCCAGCCGGAGGTGTGGCCCAGATTAAAGGCGTGTCTTCCTGCCTCCAGATCTGAATCACAGGTGTGCCCTCCAGTTCTGGATTATAGTTAATTCCAGATGTCACAGGGTGACAACCAAGAGATCTCTCACTACTCCAAACGAAAGCAGCTAGACTGGAGCCCTTTCTATGTCAGTTAACCTCTCTGCCTCACCAGCTCTCAAAAAACCTTAAAGAAACCTCAGACCAGGCTTAACATCCTTCAGGACCAGCCCTGTTTTTTGGCTGCTGCGGTGTTGTGGGATATTTGTACACTGTGTGAAGATGTATTTGCTTTGATTGATATAATAAAAAGCTGGATGACCAATATCTAGGCAGGCGAGGATAGGCGGGATTTTCAGGGAGAGAAAGGAAGAGGAGAAGAAATCTAGGCACACAGGAGAAGCCAGGGAGACAGTGAAGAGTTCGGACATACAGTAAAGAGTAGAGGTAGCCGATCACGTGGCAAAATGTGGATTAATAAAAGTAGGTTAAGGGGCTGGAGAGATGACTCAGAGGTTAAGAGTACTGGCTGCTCTTCCTAAGGTCCTGAGTTCAGTTCCCAGCATCCACATGGTGGCTCACAGCCTTCTGTAATGAGACCCTGCAGTCAGACGTGCAGACAGAACACTGTATACATAGTGAAGAAATAAATCTTAAAATAAATAAATAAATAAATAAATAATAAAAGTAGGGCCAGGCGGTGGTGGCACACACCTTTAATCCCAGCACTCGGGAGGCAGAGGCACGCGGATCTCTGGAAGTTCGAGACCAGCCTGGTCTACAAGAGCAAGTTCCAGGACAGGCTCCAAAGCTACAGAGAAACCCTGTCTCGAAAAACCAAAAAAATAAAATAAAATAAAAGTAGGTTAATATAAGTATAATATAAATATAAGTATAATATAAGTATATAGTGAGAAGCCTAAGCTAATGGCCAAGATTTCATAATTAATAAGAAGTTTCTGCATTGTTATTTGTGGGCTGACAGTCCCGATAAGAAAG